TGTTCTATTGAAAACAACTTCAAAGTTGAGAAGCCCTCCAATCAACAGGACCGAAGAGAGGGATTTTGGAGGTACATATGCTCTGTTATTGATGACACACTCCTCATAGTTCGAGTGGACTGCAACTGGGAGGGAAAGGAAGCGGTCATCCCCGGGCCCAAGGAAGACATCACTACACATGTGGAGGGGTATCTTACCCCTTCACGCTCGCGTCGGTGGACCCTATAATTCTCAATTTCTACAAAAAGGTACGAGGTCTACCTTGGGCAAATTCACCCGTCCTTTTGGAGGATCCTAATCCTCTTCTGCCACTTTGTTAACAACACCGAAGCATCTCGGTTCACCCTCGACCACCTGCTTTGTCTCTACAGTCCCCAAGTCTTCCGAGGGGGTTGATCAAGCTCGTTTGTCTAGCAAGAAAAGCTCCATTCTCAAATATCGAGATCGGGGTTGGCAAGGGAGGTTTGTTCGGGTGAAAATCGAAAACTGCATTCCCCCTTAATTCTTACCATTCCCTGAAAAGTGGAACTCAACCCATAAGTTTTCTCCCTTCCTTGAGTACTTGGCACACCTTTTATTCTTTTTCTAATTGTATGTGTCCTTTGTTGTGCAACAGTCGCCCGAGTTCCCAATAGAGTCCCCCACTTCAAGTAGTGGATCGAGGGGATCTGCAAACAAATGTCTTAATTCGAGCGCGAATGGTGCAAGCTTTTAAAGTGATATTGGGAGGCCAGTTCCCATGGTGAGTCCTCCTCCCGTACAATTCCATTTTAATACTTAACTTCCATTTCTGCTGAGTCTTTTTCCCCTTCACAGGTTTGCCCAAGACCACTAAGCTTCAGCCATTGGATGAGGACGAGGCCCCGTCCTTGGTTGTTGAATGCTCCGCTTCGGGGCATCACGGAGTTGCTGCAAAGGAGGAGAAAAAGAAGAAAAAGAGGAAGTCCTCTGGCTCCCCGGACGCTGAGATCAAGAAGAAGAGGTAGTTGTCCGGGTTCGGAAAAGCAATAAAAAGAGTAGCAAAGGCAGGGTACCGGAGAGTTTTTAGCTAATATTGTCCCTTATCTTTGAAGGTAGGTCTATTTTGGTCCCTTAAATATAACCCTGAGCATATTTAGTCCCTTAAGTATATTAAAATGGAGCACATTTAGTCTCACTGACAGAATCTGTCCAAGATCAATTACGGGGTTGGTTTTGGCACTCACCGTCATTTTAATTTACTTATCGAAAATATTTTATAAACCAACACCCACTAATAGTACAAAGCTAATAAATTTAAGATTTTAACGTTGACACTTTTACTTTTAACAATTTCGGTTGAACTTTCCAAAAAAAAAATTTAAAATTTGAAAAAAAATAGAGTTGCCAAGATCACTTCTAGTCATACTATTGATGCAAACGAATAACCAGATTGTATTATCACTTTTAGTCCGCGCCAGAAATTATTTACATCTAATAGCCAAAAAAGTACATAAAATTGTATAAGTATTGTATATTAACATACAAAGTGTATATATATACAAAATAATATATAAATTTTATACATTTTTCGGCTATTATTTTTACAACGGCTATACAGTGTCATTTTCTCATTAAAAATTGACATAAAAGGGGATATTTTTAAGGTTAAAATTTTAGAAGACGTTATCTAAAAAAAGAGGAATTAAAGTGATAATTTGTGTTATCCGATAAAAGGAGAGGAAACATTTTGCTTCAGAGTAGAAGATTTGCTTCATGAATCAGAGTTGGTTAACACTTTTAATTTTTTAGCACATTCTGTCAGTGAAACTAAAAGTGCTCCACTTTAGCATACTTAAGGGACTAAATATGCTCAGGATTATATTTGAGGGACCAAAATAGACCTACCCTCAAAGATAAGGGATAATATTAGTCAAAAACTCGGTACCAGACCCTAATTCCCTCTTTCAGCTCAAGGATTACCCAGAGGATGATGATCTTGAGTTTATTGCTCATGGGTCAACCATCGACGAAGGAGAACAGGCGGTACCCGGGAAAGGTGGCCGAGAAGTCGATCCCCTTTTGGCTCGGGAGCCAGAAGGAGAATCAGAGGTCACAGCCTCCCAAGAATCCACCCACACTCAGAAGGAAGTAGTCGGTGTTATCGACATCATGGAGTCCCCATCTCACGAAAAGTCTATGTTCGACGAGGCTCAAGCCAGCAAAGAGAAATCAAATGAGACAGCACGGGGCGCGGACAAGGCCCTTAACATGTTTTTCAATGGAATGGACATGGGCACATTGGAGGATTACTCCAGGCTTGGTCACCTGGAGGTCCTAAAATAGAACGTGCCATCGGGAGCAGGCGAGCCGAGATCGAGCTCGAGCCCGAAGCTGGTGAGGCAATTCCCTACTCCGAGTGTGGATCCCGATCGTAAAAGATTGCTCGTGCTTACTATCCCGGCAGCTGCCCAGATATTGTCTGCTCCGATGGGAGTGGCCAGCTATCTTCACTGCCTGGTGATTGAGGATGCCCAGAAAATATGAACGAAGTAGGCACATCGAGCCTTTTCAATGAGGCACAACAAGCATTGAACCGGATAAGCTTCCTATTCCTTTTACCCTTTGCGAATCTTGCTTAGTTTCAGCATGTTCTAATGATCTTATCGTTTTTTTTTCAGGCTTCGGTGCTCCACCACGAAAGCTTCCTTCGGTCTCGAATGGAAGTCAGCCAGCTCGAGCTCGAGCTCTGATGTTCGGCCAAAAATACATATATTTATCCATTGTTGCCTTACATTCTAGTACTTTTAATCATCTTTTGAGTATTAGTTATATTGTTTTGTGCTTAATATTATATTTTAACTATGTAGGAATAAAGCGGTGTGAAGATGAAGAGATTTGGAGTAAAATTAAATAAAACATTGAAGAAAAAAAAGGAAAAAAAAGAGATGAGACAAAAAAGGAGGACATCATCATTATCCTAATGATTACATGCTAAATACACAACCAACACAAAGAAGTGAATTGAAGTGAAGGAAGGAATTAGAACGCGAAGATGTCACTGTTTTCAGCGCCAGGACCAGCGCCTAGCGTTGGCCTGGATGCTGTGTTGCGGGATTTTTCCTTCTTCATTCGGGACAAGGTTATTTCGGCCCAAGACCTCTCCAACTCGTATATAAGGGATTTTAAACCTAATTTGGGGGATATCTAACACACTTTGAAGGAGAATTCACGTGGGGCAACACACACCACGCTTGGAGGAGGCTTCTAACTAGTTTTTCTTCTCTTCTATTCTCTTCCTTTAATTTCATAGTTCATTAGTTCTAGAGTTTTTGGTGCTACATGAATGTTGTGGTTTGAAGCTTGAATTATTCTTATTGTTTTATCATATTAATTTATTTATTCAATCTTGCGCTTAATTATTTGATTGCTTGATCACCAATTGAATACTATCTACGAATCTAGGATTGAACTCGGGAGAGAAAATTCTAGATTGCATATAAGATTGAGTAGAGCAAGACCTTAACTCTGAGGGGGGCAGATTTGTGGTTATGATAGGAATATACCTAATCGCCTTGCTTGGTTACTATACGGGAATTATTAATGTGTTCTTGTTAATCCTAATTCCATAGGAATATAGGCGTTAGGTTAGCTTGAATAAGCGAGTTGTACTTCGGGAGAAGGCTACAAGCAATATTAACTCTGTCATCCAATAAACCAGATAAATTAATTAGACGATTTAAGTGAAAAACTCAATGGGATTGTTAGCTAACTCATAGCTCTAGAATATTCACTCACATTGAATTCTTCTCTATAATTTGCCAACTTGTTTTCTTTAATCTCTTAGTTTGTTACGTTAGATTAGTTTTAGTTAAATATTCATACGTTAGGATTCGCTTGAATAGATTAATTGTTTGGTTTAATTTAGTTGATAGTTAATCACAAGTCCCTGTTGGTACGATATCTGAACTTACAATCCTATATTACTTGTCGACCACGTATACTTGCGTGTGCGTTTGGGAGCAACAAGCTCAAAGAGCAGATCCGGAAGAAGGACATGTATAGGGTCTCGGTGAACAACAAGACGAGGCCTCCTCCTGTAACTGTTTACCCCCAAAAAGAGTAACAATTAAATTTGTACGTGGTTTAAAGAATACATGGTTTAATTCAATATGAATAATTAAGAACAACAAGTAGATGAGTTAAAGACAAAATAAATGATCAAACCAATCACAATGTAATGTCCAAGATTGAACAGTAGAATTCGTCCTCGATTGGACCCTCGATTCAAGCTCGGTCGCGAGTGAAGAAAAGAACAAATGAATAATGCTACAAGAACTAGAAGACAAAAGTAAACTTTTATTGCTTTGAGTTGCCTGTTACAATGTGCCTGAATAAAGAAAACTTTCCCTTTATATAGTAGAGGAATTTCAGTCCTAGTACTAGTTTAAAAAAGGTAAAAATCTTCTTTTTCTGGTAAATGTTGATCGACAATTTATATTGAACCGGATTCGTGCTGTAATATCCGGTTGACGGCGAATATTATAGCTTTCTGCTCGTCATGCATAACCGTTAACCGCCTCTCCCGAGGTCCAGAAGCTATATTTGGCCCGGGCCCATCATTTCACTGTGTCTGATCTCAGTTACATTGTTAATTCCTCCTTGATTTCGATACGAGGAGCTCCTGGCTTCGATTATAATCACTCGAGATGTGCTTACTCTTTGTTCCTTTATCGGGAAAACCGGGGAAAGGTTTCCTCGATTTTACCCGTACACAAGTACAATGCATATTCATGTGTACGTGTTAAGTAGGAGTATTGCATTAGAAGAATAGAAAATATGCTAGTATCAGATAAGAACGTCAGACAATAAGAAAATAAAAAAATTCCAAGGAAGTAGCCAACCTTCAAATGTCTAAAGTCCAACGACGGATAGGAAAGATTTGGAAGCAAATAGTAACAGATAAGTACAGCCAGGTCACGACCTTTTAGTTTTTGAATCAAACTTTATATTTATCATTTTTTGGCAGTGGAAATTAGAAACCTTGATACATATCCTGTTAACTCCTACATTACGTGTTCAATCATCTCTCCTTCCTTCCCTGTTCATCAATCTTCAAAATTTCTATAAATCATTTCCTACCTCTCTCAGGATCCCAACTTTTCAAAATCGCATTGCAATTCAAACCTCGATTTTCCCTTCTATCAGATTCTCACCGTCACTTTATAATTTCCTCTTTACGATATTTTGAAATTACGCGGGAAGAGATTTATCTTGGTGTTTTCTGCAAATATGATTCAAAGGGCTGCATGCTTTCGCAGATTGTTTAAATCTTCAGCTTTGCCTTCAAAGGTCTGTCATTTGATCCAAGAAACCGATATTTTGTCTTTCTGTTTATTGGGTGTGTCAACAAAGTGTTAAATTTAAAGTAGATAAAAAAGAAAAGTTTCATATAAAGTGTTGAGACAGTTTTAACATTTTGATGCATTTTAAGAAAAAAACTATGGTCTTAACCCAAATCTAATATAATATAACACTATGTTAAAAGTGTCATTGGAGTGATTAGCTTTACTCGTTTCAGAGCCGTTGGACTTAGGTAGGTCAGAAAAAAATGAAAGATTCACATATTCATGTAAGAAAATGTGACCGCCAAAGGATGCGGTTTAGTGGATGGGTTGTTTTTTCCTTAACTAGAGGTCTCGAGTTGGAGCTCTGGGCATGGAAAAATCCTTGGTATGGAGCGCTTTACTCCTAATGGGGCCCTACGCGGCGCGAATCCGGATATAGTTGGGCTCCAATGCGGGTACCGAACACCGGACGGAAAATCAAAAAAAGTCAGAAAATGTGAACCTTATGTCCAATCAACTCATCAGAGACCTCTGCTTGTTGTTTGTAGGTTGAATTTAGATACTACACGGCTCAGGCGGCAACTTCTTTACGACCTTCTGTTTACAGGTACATTGCATTTCATATGGTCGGAAAATTATTCATACTTGTATTCGTATTGGAAATTTGGAGCCAAGATAGGCCTTTTCTAATATTGGGACTTGGTCACTTCTCACATTATCAGTGATGATGAGATTGCTGATGTCCATTGGGACAATCTTGGATTCGGCTTAATGCCAACTGATTATATGTATGTGACAAAAAGCACTGAAGATGGGCATTTCGAACGAGGCCAACTTAATCGCTATGAGAATATCCAATTGAGCCCCTCTGCTGGTGTCTTAAATTATGGACAAGTAATTCTTCAATCTGCTTTACCAACTATAATCGAGGTGTTTTTCAAATCTATTTTACAAAACTGTGTCACGAAATTCATTCAAACAGGGGCTGTTTGAAGGAACAAAAGCCTATAAAAGAGATAATGGACGCCTGTTTCTATTCCGTCCTCATCTGAATGCAATCAGAATACAGATTGGAGCTGAAAGAATGTGTATGCCCTGTCCTTCCACGGATCAATTTGTGGACGCTGTGAAACAAATTGCTCTAGCTAACAAGCGATGGGTAATCATTTTTTTAAATCATTCAGTCATATGTTTATTAATTAATTGCAAACAGCAAATTTTTTTGTATTGAACAAGAGCAGGTTCCTCCTCCTGGAAAAGGATCTCTATATATTAGGCCTCTGCTTTTTGGAAGTGGACCTGTACTCGGATTGGCTCCAGCACCTGAGTACACTTTCCTTGTTTATGCTTCCCCTGTGGGAAACTATTTCAAGGTTGACATTTTCTTTTTCTTTGATATCTCTGTACCTAATTGAAGAAAGAAAAAGGTCATTGCTCAAGCGCTAGGATCTTTTGAAACAGGAAGGAACAGCACCATTGAAGTTGATTGTCGAGGAAGATTTTCATCGTGCCTCACGTGGTGGAGCTGGTGGAGTCAAAAGCATTACTAACTATGCCCCTGTAAGCTGTCCATGTTCTTAATGGTTTCAAAGAAAATTTATTAGTACTAAATACTGTCTTCAGATTCCATGTAAGTAGACTAGAAAAAGTTCATTCCGGATTGTGCAGGTTTTACAAGCCATAAGGAATGCAAGGGGGAGAGGATTTTCTGATGTATTGTACCTTGATTCTGTAAATAAGAGATACATTGAAGAGGTCTCTTCCTGTAACATTTTCCTTGTGAAGGTAGTTTCATATTCCAACTTCTATTATACTGTTTTTCCAGACAATAGAAATCAACTTCTGATTCTTCCGTCCCGGGGAAGGGCCGGACCACAAGGCTCTATTGTACGCAGCCTTACCCTGCATTTTTGCAATAGGCTGTTTCTACCCGTGACTTCCTGGTCGTATGGCAACAACTTTACCAGTTATATAAAACTGATTTTAAATGTTTTAACCTACTTAGGGAAAAGTGATTTCAACCCCAGTAGCATTTGGAACCATTCTTGAAGGAGTGACAAGAAAAAGCATCATGGACATTGCAACTGATCTTGGATACCAGGTACTGTCCACTTGTTATTCCATGGTTTAAGCAACTACTAAACTTTTAGTTATAGTGTGAATAAAACATAATCACAAGAGGAGCTTTGAATTAAGGGTTCAGCCAACATTGTTCAGGTTGAAGAACGTTTAATCGAAGCTGATGAATTGATTAGTGCCGATGAAGTCTTCTGCACAGGCACTGCAGTTGGTGTTGCTCCCGTAGGTAGTATTACTTATAAAGGCAAAAGGTAAGACACTTCGTATAGAAATCAACATCATTTTCTCATCTTGCTCCACCTTTCTCTTATGACAAGTTTATGTTGAGTGAAAAGATGGTATTTGAGAGTAATTAGAGTATTTTAAAACATATGCAAAAATTTAGGGTTGTTCCATGTTACTTCTTTGCAACTTCTTTTCCATGATCCTTCAATAATGCCACACTGAAGGCGGGTTTAGCTATAACGGATTTAGGGCTCAACTGAACCTATACCTTTCTACTCGAATAATCTACACATAAAAAAGTGAAATATATACAAATAATTAGAGCTGTCAAAACGGGTCAGCCCAGTCCAGCCCAAGCCTCGTGGGCTTTTAAATTTGGCGGGCTAGGGCGGCCCGGCCCTTCAATTTTTTTTAGAAAAAAAAATTCTTTATATCCTTAAATATTTTTACGTGACATAGTCGATTAATCATGCAAACAAATTCTGTTTGCTTAGAGCATATCAAAAGGTTGATATTTGACTGAGGAATCTCGTGATTGAAATGCGAATTCTCTATATCTCTTGCTCTTCTTTTTTAAAGTTACATGAATATTTTCTTAATACCTTTCTTTCATTTTTCTCAGATTCAGGGATTGTTTCAATAAGTTTATATGCTGGGGGTTTTTAACGTAGGATTAACATCATTTGCTGAGTTCATCATTATAGTCCATAAATTTTTTAATATTCTTGAAATTTGCTAGTGGTCATTTTTTTGTGTATTTAAAACTGATTTTTTTCTATACCGAAGAGCAGTTTAAATATTAATAATATATTAAAGTAATCCAAACTGATCATTAGCCACTTAGAGTAATATTTTCTTTTGAAAAAAGATTTTATTGGCTATCTGAGACTTTTCGAGTTTGTTATTAATTAAGCAAAAGAAAAACTAATTTTGTCATATTATATGCATGTCAAAAATCTAAATTCTAGTTGATATGGAAGGGTAAATGAACAATCTAGGGTTGGAGAATGGGGATTATAGTTAATAGTTTTTTTAGTTTTTACTTTTTTAAAATATTAAATATTTGATATTAATTACTTTTTGGCCCACGGGCTGACCTAGACCCAGCCTTGGTCAAGCCTCAAGGGCCATGAGGCTGATTTGGACCGGGCTTATAAGCCTCAGTTTTAAATGGGCTCAAAAAAATCTTAGCCCAACCCTACCCAAGTAGCGGGTTGGATTGGGCAGGTCGCACGAGCCAAGCCCATTTAGACGGCTCTACAAATTAAGAAATTACACTCAATTTATTGAACTTTTTGTTTAATTATTGGTTTTTCCATTGCAGGATTGAGTATAAAATAAGCTCGGAGTTAACATGTAAGCAACTTTATTCGAGACTCGTAGGGATACAAATAGGCCTAATCGAGGACAAGAGGGATTGGATTGTTGAAATCGAATGATTACTTTTTTTTTTCTCTTTATTTCTTTTTATCTCTTCGCAAAGAATATAGATATGTAAAATAATAATTGGCAATGTACAAATCATTTGTGAACTATAATACTGGAAGTTATCATAGTACTAAGTAAAATTATTGTGTCACCAATTCAATCTAATTCACAAATCCCAATTCATTTTTGAGTTCTAGGCGAGCTGATGTCCCTGCTGAGCATGGGCNATATATATATATATAACAAAAATAAAAACACAAAAGGAGTTGTGCGTAGTCTTACACAATGTTAGGGCATAAGCTAAGTAAATTACATAACTCCTAATACCAATTTTTAGGGAATGATTCTCAAACTTGGTCATACATTTTGATCTATCCAAGTCGTAACATCAAAGTAATCAAAATTATGCATAAAAACTAGCCCTTTGTACGTGGAAATCACGCACAGCCAGTCTCCAAAATTGGTGCTTGATCGTCCAAAACATTGTCATCAACACTGCCCAGAAATTTGCAAAACTGGGCAGTTGTCTTCAATCTTCATTCTGTCCTCTTTGAGCTCACCTTTAGTTAAAATTCTCAGAATCCAAACTCTTCCAAAGCCATCTAAAAATAATGTGTGTACCTGCATTCACAGGAAACATGTCCATAGTATACGCAAATCCAACATATTCCATTGTCCAGCGTTTTTGTACATTTTTTAGTTTGCGTTTTTTGGTCAAAGATTCGTGTGACCTCCAGATGTGAGTGAGTAACAACTTTACGTGAGACCAAAACTGGGTTATTGAGGTAAGGAACTGCATTGAGTTCTCACTTCGCAATGCATTTCAGACACCCGTTTGTTGGCCCCAAAATTCAGCACCTCGTGTAATTCCCATGTTTAATAACTCGGGCAGCCATATGTTGCGTGTCAAAACTTGTGTTGTCCCTACTGTGGTAAAGATGCCTGTTGATTGTACTAAAATATCCAACACATTGGAGTATTGGATCTCCAGTACTTGCTTCCTATAATCGAGAAATACAACAACACTGTCCAGTTCCAGCTTCCTCCTTTGCCATCTTGTTTCCATACTTGTGCTTACCACTGACACATCTTCAAGGGAATGAGCACTAAGTGCTAATACCACCCATTGAATTTGTGTCGAATGGTAAGGCATGGATAGAGTAACATCTCCTGCAAAAAAGAACACAAAGTTAGTATAAAAACATACCCCCATGTTCTCCTCCTTAAGGATTTGAGCATGTTGATCATATATATTGTCTCCCGTGTTCTTCTTCTCCTTTGTACCCCTTTCCCTCCTCACCTCCTATTTCCTTGCAACTCTGATCCTTAGGTATGGGCATTGTAGTTTATTATTATTGAAAATCTTCCTTCCTTGAATATCCAGATCTCCAAAACAATGACATTCTATATGGCCTACATCCAAGGCATAGTTTGCAAGGTGAACTGCCAACCTATTGCCTTCTCTAAGATTATGTGACACTGCGACATTAGCTCGTGCCATGAGCTCCTTGATTTCCTCCACATATTCTGCAATTGACCATGGGACAACCCACTCTCCAGATATTACATTATGAAGTAGCATTGAATCTGTATGCAAATCAATAAGCACATAATTCTGCTCAATACAGTACTTCAAAGCATCTACTACTGCCTTTTCTTAAGCTTCTGTATTGGTACCCTCTTGTATTTCCTTGCCATAAGCATACACTACATCCCATATTCATTTCTTAGTACAAAACCAATTGAGCTTCTACCTGGGTTGCCCCTAGAAGCTCCATCTGTATTCACCTTGATCCACCCTGGACAGATCACTTTAGTAACCTTCAATGCTCCATTACATGCAGTAGGTCAGGCCACTTATAAGGAACATTTTGGAGACTTGGCTTTCTCACTTTAACAAGTGACTGAAGAGTAGTAGACATCTGATATATTACCCTACTTATAGTAGCTGGATCTCCATATTTGTAGTCATTTCTTCGCTTCCAAAGTTCCCACACAATAATGGATGGTAATGCTTGCATTAATTGGTTGTATTCTGGGCACAACATTAGCAGTCCAACATTTGATGACTACTTGATGAAACAACAATCCCTCCACTCCTATACCTGCACATGATAGGAAGCATGACCACACTTTGTTAGCAGCATAAGATCTAAAAAACAGATGGTGAAAAGCCTTCTCCTCTGGATTCACACAACACCAATATTTAGAATCCATTAAGTAGCCCAATCTCCAAGTGGCAACTTGTTCTTCAAAACTTTCCACATGAAGAAGGAAATTTTGAAAGGTAGCCCCTTTACCCAGATCTTCTTGTAAGCATTGTAAGGTTCCTTCCTCCTCAAGTAATCCCAAGCATACTTGACACTAAAAGATCCATTTGTTTCGAGCATCCAGTAAGGATTGTCAAGTTTATTTTGTACACTTGGAGGCTTGATATTGTCAAGAATATGGGCAGCCAATTCCTCCAATAATATTTATCCCTATGCTTATCACCATTCCACCCATCAACTTGCACAATATCCCCTTCATTCTAAATGGATTCATTGCAAAAGAAATTTGGGGGTGTGAAGAAATGTGGGGCGCCTAAACCTGTCCAGTTTTCAAACCAAAACAGTGAGGATCCCATTTTAACATGCCATCCAATTTTATTCTCAATTTGATCCCTACATTCAACCATTTTTTTCCATACATGTGAACCACCAGGCCTCCAAGGCACCACCATGGCATTCATCTTCTTGCAATTTGGCTCATGAATGAACTCCATAAAGAAGGTTTCATCCTAAAATTCCACCAAAGTTTGCAATACAAAGCCTTGGAGACATCATGTAAGGACTTAAACCCTACTCCACCCTCTTTCTTTGGTAAACACAAGGTATCCCAAGATACCCAGTGCCTAATTCTTCCATCAATAGAGTTGCTCAAGAAAAAACTAGCTAAAAGCTTATGAAGCTTATTAATCACAGAATTAGGAGGATTCACAGTGAGTAGACATGATTTGCAAAACATGTGAGATCAAAATTGCTCTTGCTCCAATTGACAATAACTTTCCCTTCCAGGATTGTAATTTGTCTAAAATATTATTCATAAGCCCTTGATAATGATCCATATTCCTTCTACTGTAAAAATTTTGACACCATAAATAGGTGAATGGGAATTCTTGTCTACCAATTACTATAATCCCCTGAACTTTGTCAACTACTTCTTCACTGGTTGAATGATGCATATATAAGGCAAATTTTATTTTATTTATTAACTAACCAGATGCAGCCTCACAGGCATACAAAACTTCCATGATCAACTGAAGAGAGGTTGCATCTAAAGATGAGAAAATTATGGTGTCATCTGCATAGGCAAGGTGATTGATCTTGGTGCTCCATTTAGGTAGACCAAATCCACAAAAGTAGAGGTTCATATGAAGAGCATCCAAGCCCCTTGAAAGAGCTTCAGCAGCAAGTATAAAAAGAGTAGGCGATAAGGGATCACCTTATTTAACACCTCTAATTGACTTGAAGAAACCATATGGTTGCCAATTGATAAGCATTGAGTACTAATTACTTGATACAATATCATACACCAAACCAATAAATCTCTTATTAAAGCCCATCTTCCTCAAAATTTTGGTCAAGAACAGCAATGAGAGCCTATAATAGGCCTTTGTCATGTCCAGTTTTAGCACCACATTAGGACCAGCTTTAGTTCTCTTTCTTATATCACTAATTATCTCTTAAGTTAACAATAAATATTCAATAATGCTTCTTCCTCTCACAAAACATGTTTGCTCATCCGAGATTAAGTTAGAAAGTAAGACAACTAACCTTTCATGAATCACCCTTGAAATAACTTTGTTTATGAAGTTGTTAAGAATAATTGGCCTCATGTCTAAAAATGTATTCACCTCTTTCTTTTTAGGTAGTAGTACCAAATTTGTATGAGTAACAAACTTTGGTAGTTCTTGTCCATTAAATAAAGCCTTCACCGTGTTAACAATGTCATCCCCTATGATGTCCAATCAAGCATGAAAAAAGCAGCTCGTGAAACAATCCGGACCACCTGCATTTTCTCCATTCAAACCAAAGATTGCCTCCTTGACTTCTTCCTTAGTAGGCTACTTGAGAAGATCTTGGTTATGTTCTGGCTCCACCATTTGTGGTGTCACGACCCAAATTTGGAGGGCCACGATGAGCACCCGATGCCTTACTCAACTGAGTAACAACATAACATATCTTTCTTATCACACCATCATGGGTAAATGGGCTAAAAGGGTCGTCATGAGATAACCAGAATAAAACATAAGGGATTACTAGACATAGGACGACCTAACATGATATGAAAACTTATACATGTGACATACGGGCCTATAAGGCCGACATGATCATTTGTACACTCAAAACATAGGCTGACAAGGCCATACAAGAATATATGCATGACATCTGTCTACAAGCCTCTAAGAGTACATAAACGTCATAAAGGTTGGGACAAGGCCCCGCTATACCAGCCAATATATATCCAAATCATACTGACCAAACGGGCAACTCCAGAGCAAGTAAAGTGCAACAACACCTTCCGCTGAGCTAATAGCCTACTAGGAGGACTGTCAACCTATCTATCGGACCTGCGGGCATGAAACGCAGCATCCCCAAGCAAAAGGAACGTTAGTACAAATAAAGTACCGAGTATGTAAGACATAAAAAGAAGTATATAAAAGATATGAAAGAAACATGGAGTAAAGAACTCAACCTGTAAGTCTGAATAGCTTTGTGAATCATGACATTTATAATGTCATGCATATGCATATAAATGTCATATCTTGTATAGGTATATGTGTACATAGCATCATCAAGCCTCTAAGGGCATCCCATCATATCATCACGGCCTTTATGGGTGAAACCATCAACGTATACCAGCTGATCTAGCGGTGGTGCGTATATAACGCCATAACATTTTCCCATACCCCGTATACATATACTATATGCTTATATAACTCGATCTATTCATGGGTCAATATACATGTTTAAATAAATGCAATACATAGTAAAGTAAGTTAATAAGATCTCTCGAAATGTCATGAGACCCATGAAAAGACGATGATAGTAGGACATATGGGGAATCAAGAACATAGGAAACCCTAGTACTTCTAAGAATA